TAAGAAAAGCACCTTCCTCCCCCGCACAATTTTTACCAGCACAGCAAAGCCCATATTCAGCAAGCAAATCATGGAGACCTATGATCAACTCAACCTGAAAGAAACAAATTGAGAAAGTCCAATATCACAAAGCAGCAAACAAAATAGCTTTTAGTGTCATGGCTGATAATCATAAGCTATAACATTCTTAATTTGTCCCACCAAACAGACTCGCCTAACTATGTAAAACTGAGATCCCCAGTAAGCCGTGACTTACTTGGTATTTAGTAGAAATGGTAGAATCAAGGTGTTGAAGTTTACAGAATCCAATAGCTGCATCGAGAAAGCAAGATTTCTGCTCTTCTTCAAACCCGTCAGCATTTAGAGATTCTGAAGACCTCTTAGAAAGAAAACGCCTCACTATGTTTGACATGACTGTCAAAAGCAAAGATTGTATACCAGCTACACAATCTCTTGGGGCAACCTTGTCGTTCTGCACAACAAACATACACATCAAAAAACACCGACAAGAAACAAATTTTTTGGACAACCACAAAGTTGTTCTGAAATTGATCTCTTTTACATTTTACTAAGGATACAAGAGTCTGAAGAATTAGCATATCAAACAAAGAACAAGAAGATAATGCAGTTAAATGATTAAAACATGGTCAATGACCATGTGTATAATTTATCCCATACGCTTGTGCTACCATTACGAGAATCACATATCCAAAACAAACTAAGACAATTAGCTTTTCAAATAGTTTTCGAGAACGACACCATATATGTCAACACAGATTTCAGACTCACAGAGTTTCCTGACTGGTCAAGGGAGTTCTTCACTTGAGAGATACAATAAAGAATAGCCTTGACTTCCTCCGCCACCAAGTGATCCCAACTCTCACTTGAATTTTTATGTGAGGTTTTAGGTGTCACAACAGATTCCTCCGTACCAGTTGATTCCAAGAGAACTTGCAACTTCCTTCTATGACAGTTCATATAAACCTCCGCATCTATAGGCTTACTCTTCTCGCATGCTTTTATTAAAATGTCAAGTGCTGATAACTCAACAGGAGAGATCCCTTCTTCCGTTTTCACAGCGTATGCAGGAAAGATGTCTTTATTTGGAAATAAAAGTGATGCAAGTAAATTTACACACTCCGAATAAGATTCTTTCTCCATCTTCCCAGGTATGGTCTTTTCCAACAAGAAATCCATCTTAAGCAGATTTATTTCATGGATGATTCTGTTGATGTTCAGCTCTCGGATTCTTCTGCAATGAGGCAGTTGAATCAAAACAGGAGATTCTCCAATACCTTCCTTGTCCAACAATGACAAACACCTGAAAAATTCTTCAAGGGCTTTAGCTTTATTATCCTCCAAAATTGATAACCGTGCACTCATCCAGAAATATCGAGCCCAAAAGGATCTTTTATTATAATCTAACACATCCTTAGCGGTCTGATCACCTTGAAAGCTCTTTAATGAGGAGTCAGAAATTTGTTCCTCCCAAGAAATAGGTGTACAGTCAATAGCATAATCAAGGGAAACAGATTCAATTATCTTAGAGAGATGGTACGTTACTTCTACCATGCATGATGGGGAATCAGGAATATCTGATCGTTTAGATTCGAGGTCATAGTACAGCTCGGCAAGAAAAAGACTGCATTCAGGTTTCCGATCACGTCCCCAGTGTCTTGTGAGCTTTTCTAACTCCAAAATTTTTAAGGCCGCATCACGACTCAATAGATGTTCACATTTGCTAGCTAAAAATTCTAGAAGCAAGTGACCCACATGATAAGCCCCAAAATTTTCTGAAGTTTCCTTCACAAAATTAGAAACGACAGCGTGTTCAGAAATTGGATCAGATTCATTAAGGCAGAAAGAACCAGCGGAAACACTGCTGAAACCCCTTTCAAGGACAAATGTCTCAAGATGATGAAGGATGTCACTGCTAGGATCCTTGCTATTATCAGATTCTAGCTCTTCCTTATCAGGTTTCTGGTTACGCAGCCGTTCAAGACGACTACTGCGCCTCTCTTGAGGGTGTTCTTCAGAAAACGCAGGCTCTTTTTCTTTTCCAGCACTACCACTTTCTCTTTCAATGTTGCAATCCTTAACAGAAACAATACTTGAATCTAATTCCATACAATCATTCTTCTTGTCCAGACCTTGCATTACAGCTTCTGTACTAAAAGCTAATTCAAAGGTTATTGGTATATCAGCTGATATGCCCACAGTTCCACGCGAAGGATGCACTATCTCAAGTAGAACATTTATCAGTGCCACCCATGAAGTTTCAGGAAGTTTAACTTGCACTCTTTTTTTCAACTTCTTGGAAGCAGCATCCTTGCCGTGTTTCGTGTCAGACACCTTTCTTTTGCCAAGAAATTTGAGTCGAACGTGCCGAGGTTCAAGCTTATCTATACCCTTAGGTGCAAAAGGAGCTGAATCTGTTTCTTCGATAGAATGTTTAACATGCAAAGCACGAGAATGTGATGGCCAATGCCTCAAAATCAGATTTGCAATAGAAAGACAGGAAACTTCATCACCAATGGCAATGAGAACTTCTAGAAGCTTCTCCATGCAGTTCCCTGCACATTAGCCCATTCAATTTTCAGAGGGGATGAGGGAAGCCAAAATGCAACAGTCCATACGATATATGACCAATGTGAACCCAGGAAGAGAGCAACCGTAGATTCAACATCTCTTGCAGAAACATACTAGTGGGAACATATATATATA